TTGTTTGAATCCCCCGACAGCAGTTACTAACTTTGTTAATCATATTTGCTGTTTAGGGATTAGAGGAATATAAATTATAGTATGTGTTTTTCGTTACGTTACGTTACGTTGCATTACGTTACGTTGCACCTGATTGCGGGTGGGCACCTTCACTTATGGACGTCAGCAATGCCAGAGGCATAGCCAAACCGCTGATGTTTTTTTCAAACTCCGCTTGAAAAAATATTTGTAGCACTCACATACTATGAAGGAGGTAGTTAATGCCAAAGACAAATAGTATCTAGAAAAATTATTGTATGAAGAAAGATACGTCTTAGCACTCAGGAACCATTGTAGAGAGATGAGTCGTCTATTATCAAAGGTGGCAATCTGTGCATTTGGACAAAAAATTTTTATTGATATGTCAATTCAGATTGATTTGAATATAATCGTCTCCTTCAAAGAATACGGTTCAAAACCTGCATTAAATAAAGGTTAATAGTTAACCTGTTATTTATCTAAGATGTCGTTCCGAAGAGTTTTGTGACTACCAATGGAATACAAAGTCAATAATTCGTTTTTCTGATTTACCAATCATTGTTCAAAAGTCAGATTGCCGGCTTTGATACTAGTCGACTCAGATATTCATTCGGATTGTATAATACGTGGTCAAAAATATTTCTGGAAACGCACTGTGGATTAACGTAGTAGTTGTGTATGTTACATGTTGTGTATGAACTCTGTGCCGGTGGTCTGTAAGACAAGATGAAGGGCTCATATAAAATTTTCCGCATAGCAAAAAAAGAAATAGTATCAAACGGCACGTGATTCATACATAGATTTTTTCGACAACACTCAGTTGTGTATATTATGTTCCCATTGTTCCGAACTCTTCTGAGCGCGAAGCGTAATAAAACTTTCTTGTTTAATATTTAGCTCGTCCCGCTGTTGTCCCATTTATACATATAGTCGGTGCGATGTGACATTTTCAGTCGCAGTTAGCAACATTCAGTCGTAACGTTCATAATCTTATTTCACCGCATTTCGAATGTTATTTGTGTTTTAATGATTATAAATTTAAACGGTAAGTCATTTTTTTTTATTGTGTACCCAAATGGAATATAAAATGTGGACTTGTACAGATGGAAAATTGAATCAATGGTTCGCTACTTCCTAGGTTGCAGACGTGCTGTCAATTTCAGACTCAAGTTTCGCCTGTACCTTGTATTTTCCTTAATAAACTCATTACATTATTTTTTTTATTGTTTTGGGTTATCGTTATGTGTAGCTATTAAAAACTTACTTTTATTCGAAAAATAACATGTTTTTCGGAAATATTAATGAACAGTTTTAATTTCAACTTGATTTCAGCTACAGCGAATTATTTCTTCATACAATACGCTTAGAGTTTCATTTATTGAAATAGGAGATCAATTAATTAATGCTAATACCTCGCTCGATTATTGTTTCGAGGCACGCGGCTCCGCTCATTCCACTATAAAATCGTTTAAACCGGGTCAAACACGTCCGGGACCGAAGAATACAATAAAAGGCTTTGAAACTTTATTACTGTTTACTTTTAAAAACCTAAAATTAGCGAAATATGTAATATAATATATGACGATATATTATATTATGTCAGAAATTTTAGATGAGTGATAAAATATTCAACAAACAATATTCTCTTGAGTTTGAGTATTCATACGTATTAAATCTTTCCAAAGATTTCCTAGAATATTGTATGACACTCACATTTCTGCCTTTGAACACAAAACACAAACGGGCGAACGTAAACCCGGTGTCATATGATATGAATATATAATTGGATAGTATTCAGTCGTTTTTCACATACATTCTGCTTCGTGATCGAAATAAACAAAACATGTTAGTTTAATGCTTAGTAACTGCATTTGTTAATATAGCCAAAAAAATAACAGCAACAAATTATGAAGTGTATTAGTTTAACATACAAGAAACCCCATATTATGTTTTGATAATGAAAAGATAACGTCATTGTAGTTACGTAATAAGTTGGCGACATTTTTTTCCCGTAAGTACAGATCAGATGTTGAGTAACCCCCGTAAACCCCGTGCTCGACTTGACCTATTTATTTGAAAGCTGTAATTGAAAATGGAGTCTCCTTTGACACTCAATTTACGATCAGGAAATTCTACTTTTCCCACGGAAGTCCATTCACGGTCGATTCAAAATTAACTAAATTATAAGGGTAAGTCTGCAGAATCTTTTTCAAAGAAAATTTACGCCGTCTAGCCAATAATAAATGTACATTTGTGATGAATATTCTTTTTGCTTAGACGAGTGAACGAGCTTACGGCTCGTTTTGGTGTTACCGGAACCCATACACATTAGCAGCATAAACGCCGCCACCCGTCTTGAGGTTAAGGAGATCTGTTTTAAGTTTAAAGTACTATTTGAGGTTTCGTATTGTTACGCGCTGGGGTTCGGGATAAATAAAATTCTACCGAAGTATAAATTAAAACTCTATTTAACTTAAAACACTTAACGAACACTTTAAAATTCTTAATTCACTTCTTCCCACTTCGTTTCAGGTGATCTGTTCGCTGTTTCGTTTCGAGAAGTTTCGATTACTAACTGATTTCGTGCAATCTCTGTAACGCCTTTATAGTCGACACGACATCCCTAGATTTACGAGTATCGAGAACATTCCTCACAAGTAGAGTATTTTCTATACGTGTTTCCGCCATTTGACAATAGATGGCGCTGTACTTCTCGAGCGTTCTAGAATATTTTTTTATTGCTTAGATGGGTGGACAAGCTCACAGCCCACCTGGTGTTAAGTGGTTACTGGAGCCCATGGTCATCTACCACGTAAATGCGACACTCACCTATAAGTTCTAAGGTCTCAGTACAGTTACAACGGCTGCTGCTGCTTCATGGCAAAAATAGGCAGAGTGATGGTATCTACCCGCGCGGACTCACAAGAGGTCCTACCACCAGTAAAAAACGGGTTCTTTTTATATTTGTTTCTGCTATTCGACGATAGATGGCGTTGCTCTTAACGGCGTAACAATATTATATTATTATGCTGTTTAATATATGCATTCCGGTTCTTTTATGTCAGGTACTTAGCGGTAGCGACTTGGCTCTGCCCCTGTCGTTGATGACGTTCATAAGCAGCGGAACCACTCACCATCATTTGGGACGTATGATTCTGTCTACAAGGCGAATAAAAACATAGTAAATATTCTATAAGCGTAGACGGGGGTATACAAGCCAATCTACCCCTTTTTTTATTATATTTAACTAACAGTCAAATGGTTATCGGAACTGTCATAAAATAGAATCGAGGCTTTGGACTCACGCCTTAAGTTGGATAAGATATCCAACATTTCATTCGACATCCAAGCCGTGAGCTTTTCTTCCAATCTCTGCTTAAAAAAACGATAACTTCTGCTACTCATTCCCTCTAATCACCTATAGCGATAGTAAAAAAAACGGTTATACTACCGTTGAAACCGGAAAACATTATTGCATCGTGACAGAAATAGACAAAATGGTGGTAACAAATCGTCCGAGTTCATATCACACTTTAAAAACATATACAAATTATTTTTTTAGATATGTAAAGTGAACCTTTGTATGGTCGTGATTTTCCGCTTGCGCGTCATTTATTCGTTTGCATTGAAACTTTGTAAATGCGGTTTTTAAGAAGGTTTTTTTTGTCACATTACTATCGAAGTACTGATGTTGCGGCCATTTGTGTTAATTACAGGGTTTTTAATACATACATACATAACGAGTCACAGTCTGGTTTAAAAATTACTGAATTTAAAAAAATCTCTGTCTGAGAATATCTGCCACATGAGAAACGTATTTTTCGATTTCGATTTTCTAAAGCCGGAAGCCAACGATGTCGCTTCATTTTTAACGTTATCAAAAAAAAAAGGTTTTTATTAAAATAATTCTAGAATATTTTTTTAAATTCTTACAAATTTTATTGTCTGTCCAGTATCTTATCATTTGGTGGTAAGTTTGCTCATTTAGAAACTATAAATGCAACAAAATTAAGGCACGTATTTATTTTATACACCGGTGTTTATACTGTGAACAGAAAAGTTTTATCTTTGAGCATGTGTTTAAGTTGCTCATAAAAATGACGTCGTACATGCATTGGGCATTCTCGATGAAACAGCTGTCGTTCTATTTCTGAAATGAGGGGTGATCCTCTCGTAGACACTCGTAGATAAATTTTTCGATTAGCGTCACTCAAGAAAATTCGTTATATGATTGGGATCCACATTGTCGTGTGAAATGACGGTGGAAATATTCTTAGAGTCGGTGTCATCAAGTGTAATAAGTATTACGTGTTACACAGAAACAGCGAAATGGATTGCTTGAGCTCCCGTAGAAGATTTAGGAATTTGGAATGGGTTGACGTCAATGGTTACTATTACCCACCGCAGTTACCATTTAATCCATATTACGTACCGGGGCAAAACACACTGAGAAACGACTCCCGAAATGTTCGTAATAATGATTTCGTCGATGTCGATAACACTAGCAGCGAATATGAGTGGGGACACCATTGGTGCCAGTCTCTGTATGAAGGCGTTAACTGGATGCCAGTATCGGTGAGTGTTCAAGCATGTATGCATTCTGTACGTGTGTTGAAAGTGGTGTTGTGTTCGATCATTGTTAACAAGAATGTATGTAATTAACACAAGTTACAAGTGCGCGTAAAACGATTGGGATTGTACACAATATGAAGGATATATTGTGAAGGATAACTTTGAACCAACAACAGGAATGCACCCGGCGCTTACAGCACGATCTATTTCCGGGCACGGGCGTCGGCCCTATTCGTGTAAGCTCTCCGTTCACTTTGAAGTAAAACATGCGTGAGCTCGGGCGCGGAGGCTCACTCGTGGCAGCCACCATAGCAGCATTGCACAATCGAACAGCCGGCGAAAAACCACCAATCCCAATTAAATCGCGNACTTTGAACCAACAACAGGAATGCACCCGGCGCTTACAGCACGATCTATTTCCGGGCACGGGCGTCGGCCCTATTCGTGTAAGCTCTCCGTTCACTTTGAAGTAAAACATGCGTGAGCTCGGGCGCGGAGGCTCACTCGTGGCAGCCACCATAGCAGCATTGCACAATCGAACAGCCGGCGAAAAACCACCAATCCCAATTAAATCGCGTGCAAATACAGAATCTAAACATTCTCAATTAGAAAAGGAAATTTCTGAGAAACAATCGAGGCGTGCATCAGGAGGTAGTGAGCGTCCTCTCTCGACCGCTTCGGAGACCTCGGAACGCGACTCCGCGTCAGTCGTATCTAGTGAGGAGCCGCCCCCACAAGAGAGTACGTAATTCACGAACGAGTTACTGACGTAGCATTTAATTGGAACAAAGCCAAACTGTAAATAGAGACACGTAGGTGACTCGCGTCGCGAACTTGTCACACAGTGTCGTTTTTGCTTAGCCCCATGTCCGACTGTGAATACTTAACTGAACCCTTCGACGAGGATCAGGAGCGCGCGACGGCGGGCTTTATGCACCCCGCCGTGCGCTCCTATATGTACTCGCCAATGGGTGAGTTAGTGTATGTCGGACATGAGGCTTGTCTGTGTGTGGCGCACTCTTGACCGTTTATCTTCTAACAGGCGGTGATTCTGATAGTCCAGATGAAGCGACAGTGAAGTGTACAGTGTGGTCCGACGGTGCGACCGGAGACGCTCGTCCCAACTCGTCTGAAAGCGACTCATCTTCATCTAGCGGAGATGATTCTGAAGGCCAAGAATATGAAACTCGAAAAAACAACGCCGATTACCGAACATTAACACCGAACAGATGTTTAGATAATTCAACGAGGCGTGATGATGATTTCAAGTGGATGCCCACTGGCAATATGGTGGATGAGAATGAGCAGCCGTCTATGGAAGCCATAGCGGAAGAATATTCAGGTGGTAGTCTAAATAGACGAAGGCGTATTTCGTCTGATCGTAGTGATCGCGATCGTAAAAGTAGATCGTCTTTGTCGGGCAAGCCTCCGCAGCATCCTACGGGTGTGCGAGCGTCACCAAGACCTCGACGTATACGCAATGAAGAAACACCTCCAGACTTGCATAGACGTTGGAACTCATACGAACATTTCCGCTGGCCAGAAGGCGGATGGTGGCCCCCTATGTGCTGGTGTCACGGTCCCCCTATCCCTCCACCGTGTTGTATGCATGACCGTTCTTGGCCCTCACACCCTTCGCTTCCACAAACGACTGTGCGTGGTGGTTTCAAGGTACTTCTGTTTGTTGCTTTCACAAAATCCTAAATATTGTGTTATTTCAAATAATACGTTTATCTATCTACTAAAGCGTATTAAAATTTATGTAATAATTACCTATTAACTTTCATTTAATCAGAATAATATTTATCNTGTTGTATGCATGACCGTTCTTGGCCCTCACACCCTTCGCTTCCACAAACGACTGTGCGTGGTGGTTTCAAGGTACTTCTGTTTGTTGCTTTCACAAAATCCTAAATATTGTGTTATTTCAAATAATACGTTTATCTATCTACTAAAGCGTATTAAAATTTATGTAATAATTACCTATTAACTTTCATTTAATCAGAATAATATTTATCACGATCTGTAATTCAAATTACAGCGGACAGTAAGTAAGTAAGAGTAGCTATGAGACACGCTATTCACTTTTCTAATGTTTTTAATTAATTGTGACTGGTTTAATATGTGAAGCAAGATAAATTTGATAGAAGAAATTATTTAAAAAAATTAAAAAAATGTGTTTAGTTATAGTAGTGATTTTACGACAGCCTTGAGATGAAATTATGATCTTAAATGTTTTGATTTAGAACGACGCGGAGGATCGTGTGCGTCGATTAGAAGCGGACAAGGAGAGTCTGCAGTTGCAAGTACAGGTGTTATCGGAGCAGATCTCAGCACAGACCGAGAAGATGGTCGACCTAGAACGGGCACTACACGAAGCCAAGCAAAGACTTGACGATGCCGAGCAAAAACTTCAGAAGGTGATTCTTTTTGACCATCTTTCACTAAAGAAATAGGAATGAACACTACACATTTAGCGTTTTTCTATCTTATGTTTAAAAAATGTATTTGAATATTAGGGTTAAGGTTTTTATAATTTATTGCTTAGATGGGTGGACGAGCTCGCAGCCCACCTGATGTTAAGTGGTTACTGGAGCCCATAGACATCTACAACGTAAATGCGCCATCCACTTTGAGATAAAAGTTCTAAGATCTCAAGTAGAGTTACAACGGCTGCCCCACCCATCAAACCGAAACGCATTACTGCTTCACGGCAGAAATAGGCAGAGTGGTGGTACCTACCCGTGCGGACTTACAAGAGGTCCTACCACCAGTAAACAATTATAAGGTATTAGTGGAGAATTAGCAAAATTTTAGATCAAACAAGATTTATTGAAATATATTTAAACGAAGTAGTGACAAAGTTTCAGAAGTATGAATCATTCATTGGATTTCACTGTATAAACGTGCACTGTTACCTGAGCTACATATTTATGTGCTTTAACGTCGTCGGTCTTTAACATTCCGGACGGCCTAGATCCCAGTGGAACGGGCCTATTGAATAATCATGATCCGTGTGGGCTGTGCAATTTGAAGCGCTTCTTAAAGTCTGGGATCTACTTATTGTAATATCACTATTCGCTGTGCCCGTGCGCATCGTTCTGTAATCTATATATTAATACATGAAGCAAAAACTTTGGACCCCTTTATGAAAATTGCGCGGAGTATGAAATTTCCCTCACTTATAGAGAATATAGAGAAAGAATGCAGAATGTTATTTTTTTTTTAAATTAACTTCAAAAAATACATTAAATCAATTAAAAAAACATCGCACACACTATACCATGTATTTGACACACACACTCATGCACTATTTGTTTATTGCTTATAGTCTGTGGTCAAACTGAGAATAGATTTAATATTGTTTATCTTTATTACTATTTGTCTATAATGTAGTCTTAGCGAAATCTGTGATTATGTTATAGAAGTTTATTAGTCTTTGACAACAGAATCATAATAGTGTAGAAACTTATAATTTCAATTAATTATAGTCGAGTTGCGACTACCGTGGGACCACTAGTAATATCTAAAATGGAAATACTTCTAAAATTAAGTCTGAGACGGAAAAGTTTTGTTTTTTCTTAATGTAAATCGCAACTAGAGTACCTAGAGCTGATACATTTTTGTTACAAAACAAACAAGTGACGGAATGACCTTCAAGAAGTTTTACACCGTTTAAAAGAACGTATAGTTAGAAATTTTTCTAACGGTCAACAGAGATGTCAATGTCACATGTTCCTATGCGACGGCGACTACTCACCATCACGTGGGTTGTAGAATCTTCTATAAAAAAGGTCTTATTAGTAAATAAAAATTAAATATAGATTTTATTTGTTGAAGGAATGTAGACCATCTAAACACGTACACAAGTCACATTAATGTCCGTTTATTGTCTTGTTAAACGGGCACGGGCAGTGATTTAATAATAACTCATAAAACGTCCATAATACTCCGGAAAACGACGTTTTCGTACATTCGTTCGTGCTCACAAGACCACATCAGAACAGCCGTACACTGATAGAAAATTCTTAGCTTGTACCACATTTGATATGGACAGCGATGTATTGAACTTCGAAAACAATGGTTAATTCGAAATTAAATTATCGTCATTAGTTTTAAATTATCTGTATTATCATTTTTTAGTGCAAAGGCAAACCCATTCGGGCTGTAGTAAGCGTATCACATGAACATCGAAATGTTAATACCGCGTCCGTTTCAAAAAAGGCAGTGCTATCACTGCCTATTTCGAAACGGACTACTGTAATAAGCTTTATTTATACATACATATTATTCTATACAACTTCACTATTATAATAAAACAAGGTTTTCAAGATATAACGTAAGATATAATAATGATAGGTGGTAAAATGACAATGTGTTCGAAATATAATTCAAATAATAGAATATGGAAAAGAAGGTTACAACAACTATAGAATGCAGTGTAAATTGTGACGTATTTAAACATTGCTAGATATTTAAAATATGAGATTTCTTCAACACACTTAACCGGTACTTGTCATCAGTAAATACGAAACCCTTGCATTGGACGCCTTCAACTCTAACACTAGGAGTAGGGACCTCGGTAACCGTACTCGTCGAACTTAGTAGAGTTCGACGTGCAACCTAACTTAAACATTAGCCCGCTGAGTTTCTCGCCGGGTCTTCTCAGCGGGTCGCGATTCCGATCCGTTAGTAGATTCATTCGCGAAGCAGCTACTTTTGAGTTTATAGGTCTTCTTTGGAGGTGCTCGGGTAGTTGTTAGTAAATTACACCCCTCCTGACTGAGTCCTTGCTCGCCCACCTGTCCTGGTAAAACTGGAAAGGCCTCACAGCCCCCAGTAATTCTTCAAACCTAAAAAAAAGGAATTACGAGATTTCATTAGATTAAAATTACAAATATTTTTTAGCACAATAGGGACTTTAAAATAAGATCGTATAAATAAATTTGGTAATACATATATTCGTATAATAACTATATAACAGAGTGTCAATGTTCATTGAAAAATTTTTAGTACTCTTTTAATAAAATGCCGTGCAGCATGATTGTTTTCTCCAAGCTTTGTCCTTGCTCTAATTTGAGCAACAATCGTTAAAGAAATAAAACGCTTCGTAATCTGAATCTGTGTGTAGGATAATTAATTTGCTGATGGAAATTTGCGTATACTCCAGCTGCGCAAATGAAAATTATCTCTCGGAACGATAAATAACATTGTATTAACATGAATAACAAAAAAGGATTTCGTAAACGGCTTAGAGAGTTTTAAAACATTTATATACCCGCGTAAATTCCGTTTGGCATGCAAAAAAAATATATTTTTACAAATAAACTTTTATTGATTATTCCGATCGATAAGTCGAAACTTTAAAAGGAGACTTATAGTGATAGTAATGAATGATGGTACTAATGATGATATTAATTACTACGAATTCTTTCTCTGTCCTTAAAATTTCGTAAATCTTAATTTACGTAAAGCGCATGATTTATAAGTTTTTCTATAATTATTTATAATGTTCTATATCAAACGTTCATATCAATCGATACATGTTTATTTCAATAGTAAATTTGTTGTAATCTACAAAATAGGTCGTAATGCCGCAATAGACTATAAGAAACATTACTGGATTGTACGTATCGTTCTAATTTTATAGTCCATTTCCTATCTGCGTAATGTAGCTTCCATTTGTATACTATCTGTGCCAGATGCGTTTTTTTTTTATTGAACCACTGATATAGAAACTTTTTTTTTTCTGTCGTAACGCGAATGGCGTTGAAAAATCTGTTTAATTCGTTGGAGTCGGGTCGGGTTTGTTTATTTTTAATCTGCCACCAAACGACCTATCGTTTGCAAGTAGCAGCTTTTTCTTGTTTGCTTACAGCGCAGGTGTGAAAATCAATGCTACTGAAAGTCAGCGATTCTTTAATACATTCTGTAGGTAACTAAATTCGAATAGTATAAATTATTGAGTCAAAGAATAACAAGAATCTATGGGATTAGCCGAACTAAACTTGCAAAGTCAGCGGTACATGTATACTAATATATAAATCTACAGTGGTTTTTACGGATGTTCCGTTATAACTACTGAACCATACATCCGATTGACTTGAAACTTGGTCTTCATGTAGAAAATACATCTACTTAATGGATAGGCTAATATTTATATGAGTGTTGGACTCCCTAATAATAATGACAATAAACAATAATGTTAATTTTAAATGCCCAGCGAAGCGGGCGAGTACGGCTAGTTTGATTATAAAGTTAGGAACGAGGGAGGAGAGATAATTGTATATTCCGGTTAGCGTCACGAAATTAGTGAAATATTCTCTTTTCAGGAAATGCTACAGCGTTCTTCGCTGGAGACGCAAAAGCTGGAGTTGCTGTCGAAACTAAGTGAGGTTCGTCTCCGCGCGGCCGAGCGGGGTCTGCTCGAGCGGTCTCCGCCGCCCGACGCAAGCCCCGGACCCGCACCCCCCGCCAGACCCGCCCCGCCCCGGGTCAGGACTCAATCTCAACTATACGAATACTTCAATAACAAAAGAAGACTTCACAACGCAATACTTTCAAAAAAAAAACTTATACTAATTATTACGATCTGCTGGAGGATAATGAGATACAGCTTCCCCTTAATGTTTATTAGTGCCTTATTTGCTAGTGGACGGTTCCAAGTGTATGCATTGTAAACTCTTTAACTATTAGATGTATGTATTATATAAAATAGTCATTCCCGATCCTGCGGGCCGAATGGTAAACAGTCGACGCCGCCCAAAACACGTCATTTCGGATTCTCCCGATCCACTAAGGGTGCTTTTAAGTACCTCAAGCACCGGTCACCGCCCTCGCCGAATCCGTCGCTTGCAACGAAGAGTTCGGCGAGTAAATTAACCCATAGACACAGCCCACTGAGTTTTTCGTCGGATCTGCTCAGTGGGTCGCGTTTCCTATCCGGTCCAACTACTCTTGCTAGGGAAGGTACCACCACCGCGTGGGTAGATACCACCACCCTGCCTATTTCTGCCGTGAAGCAGTAATGCGTTTCGATTTGAAGGGTGGGGCAGCCGTTGTAACTATACTGAGACCTTAGAACTTATATCTCAAGGTGGGTGGCGCATTTACGGTTGTAGATGTCTATAGCACCAGGTGGGGTGTGAGCTCGTCCACCCATCTAAGCAATAAAAAAAAAATGTATCAGAATTTTTTGCTCTAGAGTATACGCAATGTTCGTGATCACGAAGGAGTATATACATGAGAGATTTTGCGTGCACAGACTCCGCCAGCGAACTACGGGCGTCAGATCGAGCGCAACACTCACATGTACTCGTCGCTGCCGCGCTCGTCCGTGCTCGCGTCGGAGGCGCGCGTCGCGTTCGGTAACAAACACAGCATGGTGGTGGCTCGCGGGCGCGGACACTCGGTGCCCAATCTAGGTCTTTATCGATACCACACGCCATCTAGAGGCTTTGAAACCCCCATCTCCGACCCTCGAAGCAGCAGAACCCCCCACTTCGAGGCTGCAACCCCTGAAACCTGTTAAACTATGAGGCTAAAACCCAATCGAGGTTACAGACTTAACCCCAAAGGAACGTGGTTTACAGTAAAATTTGTATTCGGAATTTCAATAAAAAAAAAATACATGTAGTCACTTGGACATTAATTGAGTTAGATAAAACAAAATAATGATTCATTTCAATTAGAACATCGTATATGTCACTTTTTTTGCAAGACTAAAATTTTCGCTTGATTCATGATTAACGCAATGATTTATTTAAAAAAAAACAACGCCCTGTATAAGTTTACTCATTATTTTAATTTTCTTTAAAATGTAATCACAATAGTTATTTATCAAAGTAAGCAAAAAATTTAAACTCAAAACATGCCACTGGTCTAAACGGTAATTTCTTAATATTAAAATAGCTGAAAAACTTCATATTACTTAACTAAAGCAATTTAAAGGTATAAATTTGCTTTCAATTTATTAATAATATTATCTATTGGTATTATATATCTGAAGGCATTAGAGTTTGCTATCAAAAATCCTGTTTTGCAGCGTCAAATAAAATATCTAATTTTCTCTCCTTAACAATTAGAAACTTTGAATGGATATTTTTTAATTAACAAAATTTTGCTAAAAATTGTAATTATGCTTAGGAACAAATTTATGGGATGCACTTACATACATCGTTTATGGAAGAACATTTCAAATTAAATTGATTCATATAATATTATATTTTCAAACAATGTCCAAGAATTTATGTGCCATATAAGTTAACGAAATTCATAATATGAAAATAATTTACATATTATAACATTCACACTTGTATTGTATGATACGAATAAATATTTACTGTAAATCACGCATGTAGTGTTCCTGATTTATGAAATAATTAAATGCTTGTGAATGGCCTTAAAATATCCTGCTCCATGTGATCATAATATGCCCTTAGAATGTAAGTACAGCTTCAGTTAATTGACTAAACGAATTGATGACATTTTGATTACTGAACTTATAATTTGGTTTTTTAACCTCATTGCCATTTGATTACTAACAGGGCTCAGTATGTCATTTCTAAAATTAAAGAACCTTGGTACTAATTTCGTAAACAGGTTTATTCTTAATGATTAATGGAATTGTACCGTTGTTTCAATTTTGGGCCACTTTGGCTAAAACGGTAGTTATAGTATAATAACTATTATCGCGCAGAGAATTGGGTCTCATATTATCCCACTCCGGGTAGCGGCATACATATCGTGAGCCGTCAGCTCATTCACACGAATAAAAAAGGTGAATAATTTAGTCATAAAATTCGAGGAAATTAAAAAAAATATCACTCCAGTCTATCTATTATTATATTGACATTAAAAATGAAATCAATATTTTTTGAATTTCGAAAATGACTAAAATCGTTGTTTCTCGCTCTGCTGAAGGGTTTCATATTTGGAAAGGAATGACTATAAGACTTTATAAGAACCTACTCATAGGAGTTGGTTAAGGTAGAGTTGAAGACTAAAAATTCACACTGGAAACGGGGTTAATACGGAACCCCCATTGAGAATTTGGCCGGTGTTGTTTATTATTTCTGAAACGTTTGGTCTGCCCCGCTTTGTTGTATTCGAATATTTTAACGGCTGCAAAAGTGTGTGTGTGTATATATGCAGAGCATGTAAATAGCTTTATTATATTATAGTACTATAATTCTTTCCAAAAGTATCAGGCATTTACCTAATACTAATAATGTATTTGTTGCTTGCACATTTCGTCTTCTCGCATTAAAACTGTATAATCTCAAAACATACTAAATTTTACAGGAGAGCGTTTTTTTAAGGTTTAACATTGGTTTAAGGTTTGATATTTTTAATATTAATCATCTTTGCAACTTTTATTTTTCAGTTTTTACAGTTACATTATCTGTCTTTAAAGTAAGATAAAATTATGTATTAATTTTGTTAATTGTAGTCAAAATATAGATAAACTAAAAAAAAAAACCAACACTAAACTACGCTCTTTTGACAGTATTTATGAGAAAAATACTGGTACTGATACCGAATGATTCCGCATATTAACTCAATTTCGAATATTTTTGGAAATTGTACACTTTTAATGCGAAAAGACGATTTATCTAGTAATGTATGCATTATTATTAATATTAATAATCGTAATTTTCAACGGTTGCTGTATGTTCTGGTAGTAGTGCGCTGTGTTAAGTTCGGGAAGGGTTTTATGTTTTGTTAAACTAATGGGAACCGAGTCCGCGACAGTCCGGAACGACTCGTGCGTGCGTATTGATTGTCGTGCTGTTGGTGCTTGCAGTTGAGAAGGAGGAGGCGATACCGCGCGGCAGTCCCTCGCCGTCGCTCCGTGAGGTCCGCTCACGGCTTGGCAGCGGCTCCGTGCGGCTGGAAGGGGACGAGTTCAGTCGGTCCTCGCTCCGAGCCTCCTCAACGCCCCGACAGAAGCAACAAACGATGCCCTGGTATGTCGCCCCATCTGTCTCGCAACCCGAACCCACCCACTAGATATGTTCTAGTTCCCAGGAAACGCGATGGAGGGAAGTTCGTTTCAAAGCTGTGCTAAAAAAAATCTCTAGAATCGCCCTGTGAGTGGGGGACAGTGTGATGGTAAAAACTAGATGAAGAAATTATCTAACACAATTCCTCAGAGCACTCCCCATGGAACATATGAGACATGACACAGAGAACCACAATCCCTAGGCACACCCAGAAGCTCCAAACGATGATGCTATGTAATTTAACCCCTTCCAGTTCCAGGGGTAGTGAAAAACAACATAGATCGTGATGGATGGACATTGTGTTATGCACTTTAATAAACAAATAAACCTGTGGTATATTTAACATAAAACTATTATGATTGGTTTCAGGCAAACGACAGACATCCGACAGTGGGACTGTGAAACGACCTGCGGCTGGTTGGAGAGTATCGGCATGGAGCAGTACGCGCCCGCCGCCAGGGCGTGGCTCGGCGCCGGCGACGCTAGGGGCGTCCTCGCTAATGCCTCCCACAGCACCATCGAGAAGGAGCTGGCCATCAAACATCCTATGCACAAGAAGAAGATACTCTTGGCTATAATGGATTTATTGGTACAGTAGATTGACATCTACAACGTAAATGAGCCACCCACCTTGAGATATAAGTTCTAAGGACTCAGTATAGTTACAATATATATCAGATATTACCAGCGCCTCGGAGATTCGGTGCGTAGGTCTATCTCCTTGAGCCACTGCATGACGCTCTAACACACCCCGGTAACCGTACTCGTCGAACTCGACAAAGAGTTTCGACGTGCAGCCTAATTAATCTAAACATCAGTTGCTGAGTTTCTCGCTGAATCTTCTCTTAGCTGTAACACTCACAAAAAGGATCAGAAAGAGATTAAATAGCAATATTAAGATTATATTATTATATTGTTATAAGATTAGATTATATTATTAAAAGACGAAATAGTCTACTGCTAACATCCTTGCAAAAGCGCCGTAATAGAAAATATAAAACAAAAAAAATGTGGTCAGAACCCTTTTTTTTATTTTTAATTGCCCTTGTAAGCAGACGAGCATACGGCCTACCTGATGGTGAGTGGTTACCGTCGCCTATGGACTTCAGCAATACCAAGGGCAGAGTCAAGCCGCTGCCTACCAACTAGAACTATTTAGATAATAGTGTTCATAATGTAAATACAGTCAAAACCGTTTACTCCGACATCGTTTAAAACAACATGCCGGTTATAATAACCTAGAAAAAAGGTCACGGCTGAATGCTATATGACCGCCTTATTAAAAATATTGCTTTATACGACATTGCTAATAACGACATACCTCATAAAACGACCACATTTAACTAATATTTCGGAGAACTAGATCTGTTAGAACGACCGGCTAAGCTGCATTGTAAACAATTTGAATAGGTATCCACATTTGTCTTCAATGGCTATTAAAATCAGGAAAGAAAACAATAGGATTTAGTTTAGTGTAGGGTCTTTTCTAATTCTTAGAAACAAAACACGTGCATGCGGTAGAGTCAAAGCCCGCTGCTTCTTCATATGTCTTCATTTAGTTTGTTACTTATCTATACACAAGACGCACCAAAACTTTGTGGAGTTATTCGTGAAACTTTCAAAATTTTGCAAAGAAAAAGAAAACAAATTAACATTGAAGAAAAATCGCGTATTATGTAAATATATTTTTCCAAGAATTCCCTATCGATTTGTTTGTACTTCCACGATACACATTAAACATCACCGGTTGTTACGACTATCGGTTTTTACGACTGAATATGAGCAGTCCCTTCGATGTCGTTATAACAGATTTTGACTGTAGTTACAAAAGTTTAAAGTAATTGATTCTGTAATGTATGAAGTAAGTCTGTAATCTCTGTGCAGGGCAGTCACGGCGACGAGCTGCTGACGGCGGCGGGCGCGCTGAGCGGCGCGTGGGTGCTGCGCTGGCTGGAGGACGTGGGCGTGTGCGGCGCGCGCGAGGCCGCCGCCGACGCCGCGCTGGACGGGCGCGCGCTGCACCGCCTCACGCACCACGACCTGCACGCGCACCTGCGGGTCGCGCACGCCCTGCACGCGCTCTCCATCCGCAGAGGTGCGCCGCCCTCCCGACCATAGATACAAGCAACTCAAGCACTCAACAAAAATGTTTACGGGCGTCGGCCACTACGGCTTCGCTTCGATTAGTTTCTCATTGCTCTTGTAGATGGCAGTAACATATTACTTACCCTATATTATATTTTTAATGAAGGATTTTGTTCATTTTCAAATACTAATACAAATTGATAAAATTTAATCAATTTGTCTATAACATATAAAGTTTAGTTAAACAATAATGAAATGCCTTAACTTTAACAACATATAAGCTTAGTGGCATCCGCTACAAGATGGCGATAGTTTCCATACAAAAAAATTTTTTTGTCTTAAAGTATCGCAGTTTCAGCGCCCTACTCCCGACCATCTACGCCCCGGACGCGACATGAGACAAAGCTCCGTTTATATCCCACTTTATAAACTACAGGGGACTTTTTGGCGGGAAAGCGAGGAGTGAAGTTGTGTGATTTGTTTTATTTTGTCTATTTAGTGTTTCTTCAGGTTTAAATGTGTAATAATGGTGGTTTATTAACTGTTTAATATCTGTGAAAGTGCACAAATGTGGGAAAATGAAACAAAGGCGCTGAATGTAACTTCTCGGGATCCTCCAAAAAGTCCACTGAAAAAATCTTAGTAAATGACCACCATTTTACTGAGTTTATATTACATCCCATATCATCTCAATTTATTTCATTTAATTTCATCCCAGTTGATTAGTGTCTCAAATTTATCATCTTCATTTCATTCCATAATATCATATTTCATAAAAATATGTATAATATAAATTAAAATAAGACATGACTTAAAGGTCTCAGTTACCAGGTCATAAAATCTCTTGGAAAAAAAAACTACAGGGATACAAGTGCTGCGAGACAACAAGTTCAATCCGGACACGATGATCCGTCGCGGCGTGGAGACGGTCAACGCTGAGGGGGAGACGGAGACCGTGGAGGGCGCGGAGCTGGCGCGCTGGTCGTCGCACCGCGTCATGCAGTGGCTCAAGGAGATAGACCTTGCGGAGTACGCACCGAATCTCCGAGGCGCTGGTAATGTCCGTTATATATTGTAACTATACTGATACAAATTACAGACGTAATGCATACTTTGTAGGAGCTGCTAACAGTTTCAATGCTCTAGCTGGCTGCCCTGAACTGGACATTTTCAACACTTCTACTAAGAGTATCAGGAGAACATTAGTCAGTCGATGGTTGAATGCAAATATTTATTTAATTATTTTCTATTTACTACGTTTTTCTGTTTTTTTTTTCTCAAATTGTTTTGTTTTTGTTTTACGTTTTACTTTAATTATTTAATTCTAAGCGATGCGACGCCCAAATCGTTTGTAGTTATTTAAATACGGAGACATTTAAATGGTGTTTAGTTGTAATGTTAGAGTTTATATAGTTTAAGTTCACGATTTGTCTTCCTAATAAAATAAAATAAAATAAATAAAATACTATAGAACTTATATCGCAAGATGGGTAGCGCATTTACGTTGTAGATGTCTATAGGCTCCAGTAACCACTTAACACCAGGTGGGCTGTGAGCTCGTCCACCCATCTAAGCAATAAAAAAAATACTATTGTACTAACAGTGAAGCTGGCTGTGCTGCGACTAACATTAAACATGGCGACTGGTTTTTTTTTCCTACCTATTCTAGGAACCTCGAGGGGTTGTTCTAGATTCACCGAGCTAGTAGGCGAAGCTATTAGGCTAGTAGGCGAGGCGTTACCGTAATTTTTAACGAATATAATACGAATAGGTATACAAATTGAAGTAAATTCCAAAGTAACACATAAATCCGTTTTTTTTTAATAGGTTGGGGATTTTTTTTTTTTTTTTTACCTAAGCTGATAGCCTTGATAGGCTATTTCAGCGTAACCTTAACTAGTAGGTGAACTCACGGGGCTCAAACCGGAAGTGTTGCTAACACTGGCCCTAGCAAGAGCAGTGCTTCGCAGAATCTACCACCGGATCGGAAACGCGACCCACTGAGAAGATCCGGCGAGAAACTCAGTGGACTGTGACTATGGGTTATTAAACGAGGACGGTGACCGGTTCTGTCTATGCAAAATCACTTGCGCGTTACTTTTTACATTTATGTGAGAAACAAGTAACCTTATATTTCTATTAATTACAGTGTAAGTTCCTTTTGTAATTCGATAATTTATCCGAAAACAATCGATACTTCGTTTATTTCATTACAAATACATCCTTGTATCCCTGCTAATCGAAGTGCTGTCCCAACTCCTCAGGTGTCCACGGCGGACTCATGCTGCTGGAGCCACGGTTCACGGCCGAGCTCCTGGCCGCGCTGCTGAACATTCCCGCCAACAAGACGCTGTTACGGAGACATCTAACGCAGAGGTGTGTTATAAAAACAAATAATAGTTTAACTTTATTACTTCAGAAATGTATAATACTTTACATATAGGTTAGTGACGTATTTAAAAAATTCTCAAGGTCATCCTCCACGTTAATAGTAGGTTAAGCGGTGAAATTGTTTAATGTATATTGTGAGTAAAATTATTTCCTTACATTATAAGTTACGATTAGTTTTCGTTATCGTGTTGTTTTGTTGTATACCGTTGTCTACAAATTCAGCACATATTTTGTCTTGCCTAATCGTGCGAACATGGCTTATGTTGCAAGCCAGATTTTGCCTTTTTTACTTGTTTTATTTTTATGTATCTTTTTAGCTTGTGGTGTGTATTATGTGCCTAATAAATAAAATGAAATAGAAAAAAAACTGTACAAAATATTTATAGGTATATTTTTCTTTATTACGTAATGTTCTAGTCCTTTGACGGCTCGTAATTGGTAAAATGTACCTGGTGAAATTTAAAAAAAGTTTAATGTTAAATTTACATATTTTTTTTAGATTTAACGATCTCTTAGGCAGAGATGTGATCCAACAGAAAAGAAACGCTGAGCAGACGCTCGGCTACCAGCCGCTCACAGCAACAACCAAATATAAGGTACATATTTACTATATAAATATTTTAAATTATCTGTAAAAACTATATTTCCATTAACTGTCAGCATTTTTCATTATCGTCTCATGCTTTCTACTAAGTAGCGTTCTTGATGTTCAAATATTACGTATTCGGAATACCGTGTATTCGTATTGTATCTAGATTCGAATTAATTAGATTAGGACTATATATTTGACTGAATTTCGAGTCGGATATCACAGTCAGTTTGGTTATCCAACAAAATAGCATGAAAATAGTTAGGATTGGGAACAAACAGAGTGTGCATCGGGTTTTTCAATATTATTAAAATCTCTTTTACGGGGATAAAAGCGAAGTAACTGTAAATAATTGACATATACAACATATTAACAAGTATGCAGTGTTAATTACGAATTTTTTTTTTTTTATTTTAACCAATTCCAATAATAATGTAAATGGTTTACCCTATTATCGTACATTATAAGTATTATACTTTATTTTAATTGTGTGATCGCTGGTGCGTCGAGACGTTTTCACTTTTAACCAATGCTATTTCCCGATCTATTTCAGGTACCAAAGAAAAGTCAGTTCTCGTTGAAACGTAAGAAGAGCAAGGAGGAGTTAGAGATAGGCGAACTGGTGTGCCCCCTCGGAGACGAGTGCTCAGGTGACGTGCCCACATCGCCTGTAAGTCGCACTACTAACAATACTAATATACATGCACACACGTCACCTACCACGCCATTCTATATTTCACAAGCGGTACGCCAAAGCCCACTGTGTTTCTCGTCGGATCTTCTCAGTGGGTAGCGTTTCCGATCCGCTGGTAGATTCTGCGAAGCACAGCTCTTCCTAGGGCCAGTGTTAGCAACCTCGTCAGGTTTGAGCCCCGATAGCTCACATACTAGCCCGGCGACGCTGATATGGTCACTAGACCATCAGCTTAGGTAGAAAAAAAATTTGCCAACACAAATATTGGCATTGTTATGAACATTTTGCTACTTGACCCGCGAATATATCTCGGTGTAAAGGTTGGACTATTCGTTATTTACCGTCGAAATTTGATTTAAAGATGGCGTTTAAGTTTTGTATGTAGACTTAGGTAATCACTTTCGTGGCCGCTCCATAAGAGAGTATCAATGATTTTAATTGGTTCTTACTGGTGGTAGGACCTCTTGTGAGTCCGCACGGGTAGGTACCACCACCCCGCCTATTTTTGCCGTGAAGTAGTAATTCGGTATTAAGGGTGGGGTAACCGCTGTAGCTATACTGAGATTTTGGAACTCATATCTCAAGGTGGGTGGCGGCATTTACGTTGATGTCTATGGGCTCCGGTAACCACTTAACACTAGGTGGACCGTGAGCTCGTTCACAAACTAAACAATAAAAAAATTTGAATGAAAAAAAAACAGAGTTTTATTAATTTAATGAATTCGTATCAGCCACAGAGAAAAACGTATTAATTAGAAGAAACGCAAATGGTATGTGGCCGTATACATTTTTATTGTTAATTTTCATTATTTTTAACAGTTAAAGTTTGGTAGTTTGTTTAATCAAAATGCTTTTAACTTCAATGGTGGTTTGGTAATATATCTTTGGTTTGGGTTTTCTTTCTTTTAATTTGAGTTAATTTTACTTACAATTTTTATTAATAAATACTGCCTCTGGATTACTGTAATCAGATTTTTACAACGTACATTGCTGGTTGTTAATGTAACAACTAATAACAATCAATAGTGTAATCATAAGCTAGTAGCTAAACATAGCCAGTGCACAAGAAATTGTTTAACTGCGACGCCATATTGGATAATTTGAATGTTCCATTTTTAAATTTTTTTGCCTCTATAATTATTGGTTCTCGTTCTTGATTTTAAAAGACGCCATCAACAAATTTTTCAGCTCAAATTAAATAAACATCATTCATATTCATTCTCTACTTATATTATGTGATTTTGATAGTGGAAACATGTTTGGTTATTGTTTTGGCTATTTTTTTCAATAATCTATGTTTTTTTTATGCTATTGGTTTCCCAAATAAAAAAAGAAAAAAAAAAGTGTAGTATTTTCTCATAAAGTCTGCAGTTTCGTTAATTTTTGTTTATTAACGTAGTGAGAGATTGTCTATATTTAAAAAGTTATCTACATGTGGAACGTGATATATAATTATAACGATGTAAACTATGATTACAGACGATGAGAGTAAAGTCAGCGGTATCGGCGGGCGTCGCGTCGGCTGTCTGTCCCCCGCGTGACGCCGCGCGTGCGCACTGACCGCGCTCCGCACATGCCTTGGACCGAACTACACGTAAATAAACGATCACTAACGCTCCCTGTGAACGATCAAATATGTTTGTCAAACTTTACGTTTTCATCAAACAACAGCTTAAACGATCAAACACCAAAGATCAAACAAGTTCATTAAACTTCGGTTTTCTCCTCGCCGTAACAAGACGTCGTGTCGAGCAATGATTGAGATCTTGTTTGACAAACACTCCCATACACGTTCAAACTTGTTTGTCAAACACGCCGACAGTCAAGATTTCCATCAAATACGTCAAACAAAGCTGCATGCTGTCAAATAAGTTGACAAACAATTGATCGTTTACGAGGCGCTTGAAGCATCTACAGGGTGCTATTAAATCACCACCGAATCGAAATGATATAACAATACGCAAACTGTATATCGATATAATATCGATTAATCGTTTAAGGATTTCGTTGGCCCCGCGATATAAACCTTCCGACTATGCTATTTGAAAAAAAAAAAAACATTTTAGTTTCGGTTCAAGTACGGCACACTATGTATAATATGACCACAGTATAATTTTGTTAACTACGCAAAGTCGGAAAGCATACTACAAATTTGAATAAAGAGATAATATATCTTCTATTGAAAAATTATTTAAGACATGTATTTAAGAGGGGGGAATCTGTGAAGCGAAAATTGCCGTTAAAGATAATTGCACGGCTGAATTGAAAATGAAAAAAGGCGAAAATTATCCGACATAAGAACGTAGGCGTGTTTGTTTGTAATGACCAACTAATATATAATGCAACATTTAAAACGCATTTCATAAATTCGTCCTATCAAAGGAATTTTAACATTTTAACGTCATATTAAATAAAATTGCGCTAACCCTACTCTACTATAGTATTTTATTTGGTGCTAAAATTTGAAATTAAAATCTTAAAAATTCCTTGTTAATTTATGTCACTACTATTTATCTTTGTTTATCGAGTCCAAGGTACACCCTATAGTAAAAAATAAAACGCATTAACATTTGGTGCGACTGCCAAAAATATCTATCGTGTTAAGTAACGTATGTAGGATCGTTTATTGAAAAAAAAAATTAAAATATTTTAACTTATGTTTAGTGTTATAAAGTGAATGCTGAATATAATTAATATTTATTTGTGTGTTGTGAATGAAACTTGGTGAAATGTGCACAAAACCGATATCACATAATTTGTAATAGACATTCCAATGTAGATGCTCTTACATTACTAAGCTGCCTATCAATTAATATAATACACATTTTGTAGTGTTAACATACATACATATTTCATAAAATTTCTTTAAACTTCTAAACTATTACTGAACGCAACTGTAACTAACCCCTTATATAGATTCTTAATAAATTTATAACTAAACTATATGTTCCCAAACTTTTTATTCAATTGACTTTCCAATATATATCAGACTACCTTAGTATCATATCTATAGTATACAAATCTAAATTTAAAATAGGGTTTTTTGATAGGCTACCAAATGAGGTTTCAACTGTCTCTTGGTAGCAGTTTTCCAATCAATGTCACACTTACCCCTCTTTTCATTATTACCAATGCAATGACCGCTTTGGGTATAAATGACCCACGGCATGTTTCACTCGAAACAGTAATTGCACTAAAAATATATATTCTAAAGGTACTTAGCACTTTATTAATAAAAATAAATAAATTAAGTAGCTAATTAGGAAACGACTGAAAGGTGACAATATTATTCTGGTCTCATTTCAATTTTCTAAAATTTATTCATTTAGTATTAAGGGTTATAACCGTTTATAATATTTATATATTATAGAATATTGAGGGAACTGTAAAGTTATTCACTATAATATATTTATCATTGTTAGTATTTGAGGGATTGTATTTATAAAAATGTTGTTCTTAACGATTTAAGGTTTATCTTAAACGAATAACTGACATTTTATGTTCCGCGTGCAAGTTTTTGATGGTACCGATTTATGTTCTAGCTTTTTTGATCTTTACCTTTACCTCAGTGAATAGCTTAAAACTTAATAGATTGAAAACAAAAATCGATTTTCAAACGCGATGCTTCCGCGCAAATCGATGTGATATTAAAAAAAAGTATCGATTTTCAATCGATTACTATCATGAACTTGTGCACAAATAACAGAATTTTGACAGATAAGCTCATATCGCCGATTAATATCGCTAAGTTTTATAGCTCCGCAGGCCAATGGGCCTAATCTGTTCAGTTTTAAATTTTTTGAAGCATTTTACACTACTTATTGAATCATATCGTAATTTATTAATTAGTATAGTCCCGTTATCGAAACGTGCCAAAATGTAATGAACAATAATATACCTTTACATGATTACCCTTGTCTTCCATAGCTTTATAATTCAACATATTGAAACTGATGGTCCTATTTTAAAAACCATTAAATAAATAAACCAACCTTTTTTACAATTCATGTATTTAAAAACATTTTTACGATACCTTAAGATCAAATGTAATCTGTAAAAAAGTTAAAATAAATAATGGATGAACACAAAACCTGATTTTCATTATTTTCAATCCTTATTTTCGAATAAATATAGAGATTTAGCGTAATTGGCGTCAACGTTTTTCAATACTTTCAAGCCCTCTGAAACACGAAACAAAAGTTTTAATATGAGTGAATTCATAAAACTCGTTTATATTGTCGTTCTATCTTAACTTCTCTTTTGGACATTAAACTTTCGCGCTTCTTCAACAGAGCGTGATTTGAACAAAAAAATTAATTGATGAACAGAAAAATTAACTGATGAACAGAACAGAACAAACAACAAAGAACAAATGTAACACCAATTTAAATTGATATTTCGACGGACATTTCGATCTAAAGATTTGCTGGTAATTCTCGATAATATTATGTCCTATTGAGAACAGCTAAGGTCTCTTGTGGCAATTCCATTTAACAACTATCCCCTATACAATCAACATAAAAGGAATGAGCGAGATATAAAATCGCAGTACCAGCCGTGGTGAAACTGGAAAGGCTTTCGAACCACCAGTAATTCTTCCTTCATAAAAAAAACCGTAGTAAAAACTTTGAAAAAGTGATCTAATCGTTAATTAAACTTTTTGCAAATCATAAACATTTAAAAGTCCCCCGTATTAACGTCGTATTAATATATACTTTTTTTTATTGCTTAAATGGGTGGACGAGCTCACAGCCCACCTGGTGTTAAGTGGTTACTGGAGCCCAGACATTTACAACGTGAATGCGCCACCCACCTTGAGATGTAAGTTCTAAGGTCTCAGTATAGTTACAACGGCTGCCCCACCCTTCAAACCAAAACGAATTACTGCTTCACGGCAGAAATAAGCGGGGTGGTAGTACCTACCCGTGCAGACTTAAAAGAGGTCCTAGAACCAGTAATTACGCAAATTATAATTTAGCGGGTTTGATTTTTATTATACGATGTTATTCCTTCACCGTGGAAGTCGATAGTGAACATTTGTTAAGTACGTATTTCATTAGATAAAATGGTACCCGCCTGCGGGATTCGAACATCGTTGCATTGCTACATACGAATGCACCGGACGTCTTATCCTTTAGGCCACGACGACTTAAATTCTTGTTGAAATTACCTTTTCCGCGTCCTTTGCGACGCAGTTCGGCTATCCTTTCCACTTCACTATCTTCCTCTGTACTATTATCTCTTTTTTGCGATTCTTCGTGGGCTTGCTTTAATAGGGATTCCTCCAAAAATGTTAGTTCTGAAATATTAGAGCATTGAAAATTGTTTATCAATAATCATTTAAATGAACTAGATATTTAATGACCAGTGCCTATATTCAATAATTTTTAGCAATTTTGAGCATCACCTTTAGAATAGCGTCCATCAAACGCGAACTAGCTACGAATAATAATAAGCTGTAAAATCATATTTTCCTTAGTTTTCGTGAGACAATTATTAAAACCACTTTTTAATCTCGAGTTTTTTTTTGTTTTTCTTTCGTGTATATATAATACATAGATCACGGAAACCTTGAAATATTCGAAACATCAGAAAATAATACTATAATAATTACAGTAAATAACGCGAGATTAAACTGTAAAAGTAGTTTAAAATGTAAAATAGTACAGTTGATTGACGGCTCAGTTTTTGATGTTTGAATATAAACTTAATTGTCTTTGACTGACGGTTTAATTTTTGGTATTTGAATATCAATTTAATTGTCTTCACTACATACTGGCAAGCCTCGAGTCCATGCCTATCCAAGTTCCGTTGAACACAGCGCTTGCCGTGGGTCGAGATTTAGGCTCGGGCTCCATCAGCTGCGTCACCTGTTCTTTACATTCCGTAGATAACTGATTAACAACGGTCGTACGGAACCGCCACTTGCGCATTACCTGTTTTCCCACAGCATTATAGCGTTATTAAGAGTAAAGTTCAAATTATATTAAATACATGAGTGATCCATTTAACTTTACCCAAAGTGTACGATGCGCAGACGGCCCCCACTCTTTTGTCGAGAGCTCACGACTCGTGCCGATTACTGTACTTATATTACCTATTATTATATACCTATATTGTCTATTATTATTGTCTTAATTTCGAATGGATAAAAATCGTAAAATAAAGAACTCATTAAACACTCGTTTTGACCATTAAACTAAAACAAATAGGGTCTATAATAATTGATTTAAAAAATTTTAAAAAAGACAAAAAAATTACTCTTTTATAGAAAATCCAACTAAAAAATTGAAAATAATTTTTTATAAATTTGAATTGAAAATAGTGTAAGAAAAAATTATTTTACTGTAAAAAAGTGTGGGTTGCATGGTATCAGTAGTTATAAATATTTTATGAACAGATATGAGTAAAAGGGTTATTTTGATAATATCCTGAAAAGCAGCCCACGCTTTTTTTAGAATAAAATAATTTTTCCTTACACTATTTTTAATTCAAATTTATTAAAATTTATTTTCAATTTTCTAGTTGGATTTTATATAAAAGTGTAATTTTAAGTTTTTTTACACTATTACTTATTTCTCATTTTTCAGCTAAATTTCAATTTTTTCAATATTTTTTAAAATATTTAATTGTCATCGGTCCTTAATAAATATACCAAATTTCGAGTTCATCATCATCATCATCTGTCTGCTGTCCACTGCTGAACATAGGCCTCTCCAACTGATGTCCAGTGCGCCCGGTCCGTTGCCGCCTGCATCCAACGTGACCCAGCAATTTTCACCAGGTCGTCGGTCCATCTGGTAGGTGGCCGTCCCACACTGCGTTTGCCAGTACGTGGTCTCCACTCAAGGATCCTTCTGCCCCATCGGCCGTCCGATCTTCGCGCTATGTGGCCAGCCCACTGCCACTTCAGCTTGCTAATCCTACGGGCTATGTCAGCAACTTTGGTTCTTCTACGGATCGCCTCATTTCTGATTCGATCTCGTAGAGAAATACCAAGCATAGCCCTCTCCATAGCTCGCTGCGCGACACTAAGCTTCCTGAAAAGATCCCTTGTGAAGCACCACGTCTCGGAACCGTAAGTCATCACTGGCAACACACATTGGTTGTACACCTTTGTCTTTAGGCACTGAGGGATTTTGGACGAGAACACATTTCTTAA